ATCCTTGTATGCAGTTGTCAATATGGACGGGTATAAGACGGACGACATTTTGAGTCAGGCGTTGGATTTTGCAGAAGTGCAATATTTATAACCCAAAGTACTTACATGTATCAGTTTGATGAAGGTAATCAAATTCATAAATGTATTTCACATGTTACGGTTTTATCAAAAAAAGCCCCCCTTCTTCTCAACATTACACAAACATTCATACTGAGGGATCATAGGTGTGTTTGGATTAGAAACTCGACGACCGGAAACGCTTAACATACAAAAATACAGATTGCATATGTAGGAACCCCCTTTTTTGGACAATCCAAAAAGGAGGGGGGGGGGTTCCGGGGGTTGAAACCCCCCTTTTTTAACAATCAATGCTTTTGAATGGGACAAATGGCTGAATTCCCCCCCTTTAATCCTGGGTTGGCATCCTCTTTTAAAAATGGCTGGATCCGCCCCTGGGTGCCATCATTAGTCTTCAACAATCCAAACATTAATATTTATTTTATGATTAAGACTTCTTGTATGTTTTTTTAATTTTAGTTCATTTATATGTTTTGGAGTTTAGTGTGACGTCCATTTTCACTGAACTAGTACACAATTTTATTTAGGGGCCAGCTGAGGACCACCTCCGGGTGCTGGATTTTCTCGCTGCGTTGAAGACCCATTGGTGGCCTTCGGCTGTTGTCTGCTCTTTGGTCGGGTTGTTGTCTCTTTGACATGTTCCCCATTTTCATTCTCAGTTCTCAGTTTTATTAATCCAAATGAAAACTATATGTTTTTAATGTATAATTCAAATAAATTTCTTTACATGTATATTCTTTAAGACATTGCCTTATGGGATTAAAATTGTAGCTTCAAGCAAAGGCATATTTAAATGGTTTTTTTTAATTCAAAATAGATGCTAAATATTTATTTCGCTATTGGAATTTCCTGAAAATATGTTTTTTTATATGTTTTGAAACAACTTGTAGTGAACACTATTAGTAATCTCTTATGTTCATGCAAGTAAAAAAAACAATTGCTATTGTTATGAATAACAATGGACTGTGCATTCGAGATTTAGAAGCAGGGGTTTCCAGAAACCCCGCTCGTCACACCCTGTTGTCAAAATCCATTGTTATTCGTAACAATAGATCTATTCAATATACACTTGTTTCAGAAATAGAAACTATGAAGTATAACAATAGAACTGGGGTGTAACTAACTGTAAATGTGTTCGAAAGCTAATTACATTATCAAATTCTGAATGAAAATTTGACAACAAAAATTTACTTCCAAATACAGCGACAACTTTTCATAATTAACGAAAAAAATCAAAGAAAGTTATTTAAAAAAAAAAAATTCAAGTGACACAGTCAATGTTTATATAAACACAGTTACAATACCAATAAAGAATATTTTCAATGTCAATCAACTAATTAGTATATATCAAAAGTGTTACTAAATGATGTTTAGTTATAAAGTCAAAACACACACCGGTACATTAAATACAACTCAGTTTAAAAGTAACATCTATTGTCAATCGGTAATCACTGATGTGTAGCGACATCTACGGGTATCGTGTATTGCCAAAATACAAATAATTCTTCATTCTCTTCATTATTCACCAAACACGTCTGATCTACCAGAAAAACCACGTTGGACGCCATTATAATAGTCTTGTTTTACAGGGTTTCCATAAAGTCGAGGGTTCTTTGACATCACTTTATTTTACAAGTAAACGTAGGGAAAATAACCCTGCAATAACAATAGCATATAATTATCACATTTATCAATATCATAGTCTTATTAAAGTCTTATACTAGAATCATACAAAAATTAAACTGGTGTAAATAACAATGTTACAAGATCGTATGAAATATTCTATTCCATATACAATAAACTATACTGAGTATCAAGAATGCAGTGACATTCATAATATGCAACAAACTTGCAATTATATTTCTAAATACAAATACATGTATCTAATAAGTCGTATCAAATAGCATATCATTATAATCAACCAAGCGTATTATAAACAAGTCGAATGTATCGTACTTCATAAACGAGTGTCATTCATAAAACCTTTAACATACAAAGGTTATTATCTGTTCACTAATGTATTCTAGCTATTAAGTTCGTATGCACTACTGTAATGTTTAATATCTATTATCGAACTCAAGTTAACTGACATATAGGTACAATATAATATGACCCTTACCAATCTGTGGAACCAGGTTATATATATCTAACATCTACAGTACATAAATAATCATAATCTATGTGTCCTGAAAATAATACACAATAGTAAATACTAGAATCTAGGAAAATAATGATCCCTTATACAAAATACAACATATTAAAGACTTATATAATAAAATCAAGCTATTACACAAAATAACCATATATGAATGCAAAAGCGTGTAACCGATTCATTATAAGGTTATTATTTTTTTTAGATAAAAGTTAAGAAAATGAAATACCTTAAATTTGTAATCTGTCATCATAACAGAGCAGGTGTTTTTGAATTACAAAGTATCAGATAAAGGCCGAATTATATGCAAATCTATTCTTTTTTTAAATACATGCCTCTACCCCTTGTGATGCTAAATCTGACACCCCGAGCGACACATTATATTTTGATGAAAAACTAGTTTTAAAACCAATAAATTTTAACTAAGAAGCTGGCTTTTGGATAAATTCCATGATAAGAATTCATTTCTATATAAATCATACGGGAAAAAATCGTCAAAAGTAGTTTTTTATCCTGAAACTTGCATATGAAGCCTCAAAATCTGCAACATGGAAAACTATGGAGAGGTGTTTGAGAAAACAGAGCAGTGAAAACGTCTGCTTCTGCTTGCTGGAAATAGATTATGGTTCGATTCCTTCCGTGCAGTACATTATTTGGTACTAACAATTCTCAAAAAAGAAATCTTGATACTTGTACTTTAAGTTACCTTGATCGTTTTTCTCCGCATTAAAACCGCCATCCCGTGTCAAACATAGCCGACACCTCGTATGTGGCGTTCTACACGGTGGATAGTCTGTTTTTGTTATAATATTTACACCTATGCGTAGGAACTATTTTGTTTTATATATGTACTACTCAACAGTATGTTCTTTTTGACCGGGCCCGATTTGGTGGTGTAACATCTAACAAAGTCTATCTGAATTATTTTGCAAAGAATTCCGCTCAAACCGGTGCTAGGGGCCGTCTTAAACTTGCAGGGAGGTGAAAGTTTTTTTGCTCCTTGTTGAAGGCCTCACTGTGACTTTGATTGATTGATTTTTAACGCCACTTTCAGCACTATTGTGCTATTTTGTGGCGGATAGTTTTGATTGGAGGAGGAAGCCGGAGTGCCCGGAGAGAACCACCGACCTTCGGTAGGAAAATTGATAACCGTAGTCAAAACTTGACAACATCTATATATGTTCCGGCAATAAAGTATATTGACAGGTTGTAAGTATTCCTTTGTGCACAGATCGACTTATTTAACAGCAGACTTGTTCCTATATTGTTTTGAATCGCAGTTAATAGCCAAACTCAGGAAAGATCCATCTATATTTCATTCAAATGTTCAATGAAATAACATTTCCATTACTTGAATAAGAGAGAGTACCACGCTCTCTGTACGTTTAGAAGCTTTGCAATAACTCTTTGAGGGGTCCGTAGGTGGCCTTTTGCTAGGCAAAATTTCTGTCCCTATTCAATATGCCCTCATTTGTTCTCGTCCTAAACATGCATGACATATTTCCCTCTGGATGTTAAGCAACCAACAATCAATAAATATAATCATACTGCGGACATTTACCCAAGGAAACTGACTTTGAATAAACCAAATAATATCAACACTAATTTTCCGTTCCTAGATTTGGATATTTCAATATCAAATAAGAAAATCCATACAAACCTTTACGACAAAATAGACTATTGTTAATGTGTGTTTTCCTCGGACGGCGATGTTCTTTTGGTTCCTTTTTACGAATTGTTTATTTCTAAAACTCGTTCGGTATGCCCATGTCTGTAGTGGCGTTTTTCAGATTTCATTGGACGTATAACATATGTATAACTGGTAAATCATTAAATCAGGGATTTCGTTACCACAAATTACCGAAAATCTTTTACTGAATTCTTTCATCGATACAAAGATTTGGTTTGGAATTTTATCTGTTTCTGTAGATTTTTTTTTATCACAAACAGTATGTCACATTCCTATTTGTTCGGTATTGTTGTGTATAGAGCCCGTAAATTAAAACATAGCGAAATATGTATTGCTATGAGTTATAAAAACTTATGGTCCTACATGTAAATACTGCCGATACAATGTACTTCTATCTTGGGATTGCACACGGACATGCTTTTCTCAGGCTGTTTATGACGTTTTTACACTAAATCCGTTAGAAGTGTACTAACTGATACATATATAGTCTGGATGAACACGATTTATTTATACGTTGTAACGTGCTTTGAATTAGCTTTCTGTAACCGTGCTTTTACTGGTAGATCAGTACTGGGTGTTTTTTATCTTTAGGTTAGTTGTTTTTGTGTTTTGTGCCAATCTGGTGAGTCAAGAAATTTTCAACTGATTTTGACAATTTGTTCTTATGTTGTTCTGTTACACCATAGTCTTAGGTATGGGGAGGTAGTCTTAGGTATGGGGGAGGTTGAACGCTCACAAACATGTTTAACCCCGCCACATTATTTATATACCTGTCTCTAGTAAGCAGCCTATAATTCAGTGATTGTCGGTGGTTGCTGTCTGTCATATATGTAGGCTTTATGATATGATAGTTGATCGCTGTCATATATGTAGGCTTTATGATATGATAGTTGATCGATACGAAATATCTGTACTGATGGTAAGACAGGCATATTTCTGATAAAAATCATGATAGCTTCACTTAAAATACTGTATATCATTTAGACCAATAATTATTTCATGGAAGATATCGAAACGTGTCCTTTTTGAAGTCAATTTATGACAGCCATGTATCTTTTTTTCTTTTTTGTTCTCTTTTTATTAAGAAGAACCGTGGTAGTCCATGATATCGTGGATCCATCCCAAATGTTCAGCTACCTGTGTGTAAATGGAGGGATAATCACCGCAGTCTGTATCTCCCCATGATGATATCCCGGCTAAAGTGTACCCATCTGTCCCAAGACATGCCAAAGGACCACCACTGTCTCCCTGAAAACAATTTCAATCGTTCTAAGGTAACTAAAACTTTTACATAATAAAACATAACATGTTACATGTAAAAGCTAGGTTCGTAAAACGTTCTTATTAGTTCTTTTGTTAAAATCTGCTTGATTACCAAATGTGTTATATGTGTTTCGGGTAAAGAGCCCGTCTGCAAGCATTAAAATAATGTAGAACAAACAGTCGTATGCATTAATATGCATAAATACTGAACTGTTTGAGGTTATTATAAAAGAACTAGTAAGTGTGCATGTCCCGGGTCGGGAACCTGCGGTTCATGGTTGTCTTTTGTTGCTGTAAATCATTTGTCTTTTGTTGCTGTAAATAATTTGTGTTTTAAGTTTGTTGTAAATCATTTGTGTTTTAAGTTTGTTGTAAATCATTTGTGTTTTAAGTTTGTTGTAAATCATTTGTGTTTTAAGTTTGTTGTAAATCATTTGTGTTTGTAGTTTGTTGTAAATCATTTTTGTTTTAAGTTTGTAGTAAATCATTTGTGTTTTAAGTTTGTTGTAAATCATTTGTGTTTTAAGTTCGTTGTAAATCATTTGTGTTTGTAGTTTGTTGTAAATCATTTGTGTTTTAAGTTTGTTGTAAATCATTTGTGTTTTAAGTTTGTTGTAAATCATTTGTGTTTTAAGTTTGTTGTAAATCATTTGTGTTTGTAGTTTGTTGTAAATCATTTGTGTTTTAAGTTTGTTGTAAATCATTTGTGTTTTAAGTTTGTTGTAAATCATTTGTGTTTTAAGTTTGTTGTAAATCATTTGTGTTTGTAGTTTGTTGTAAATCATTTGTGTTTTAAGTTTGTTGTATATCATTTGTGTTTTAAGTTTGTTGTAAATCATTTGTGTTTTAAGTTTGTTGTAAATCATTTGTGTTTGTAGTTTGTTGTAAATCATTTGTGTTTTAAGTTTGTTGTAAATCATTTGTGTTTTAAGTTTGTTGTAAATCATTTGTGTTTGAAGTTTGTTGTAAATCATTTGTGTTTGTAGTTTGTTGTAAATCATTTGTGTTTGAAGTTTGTTGTAAATCATTTGTGTTTTAAGTTTGTTGTAAATCATTTGTGTTTTAAGTTTGTTGTAAATCATTTGTGTTTTAAGTTTGTTGTAAATCATTTGTGTTTTAAGTTTGTTGTAAATCATTTGTGTTTGTAGTTTGTTGTAAATCATTTGTGTTTTAAGTTTGTTGTAAATCATTTGTGTTTTAAGTTTGTTGTAAATCATTTGTGTTTTAAGTTTGTTGTAAATCATTTGTGTTTTAAGTTTGTTGTAAATCATTTGTGTTTGTAGTTTGTTGTAAATCATTTGTGTTTTAAGTTTGTTGTAAATCATTTGTGTTTTAAGTTTGTTGTAAATCATTTGTGTTTTAAGTTTGTTGTAAATCATTTGTGTTTTAAGTTTGTTGTAAATCATTTGTGTTTGTAGTTTGTTGTAAATCATTTGTGTTTGAAGTTTGTTGTAAATCATTTGTGTTTTAAGTTTGTTGTAAATCATTTGTGTTTTAAGTTTGTTGTAAATCATTTGTGTTTTAAGTTTGTTGTAAATCATTTGTGTTTTAAGTTTGTTGTAAATCATTTGTGTTTTAAGTTTGTTGTAAATCATTTGTGTTTTAAGTTTGTTGTAAATCATTTGTGTTTTAAGTTTGTTGTAAATCATTTGTGTTTTAAGTTTGTTGTAAATCATTTGTGTTTTAAGTTTGTTGTAAATCATTTGTGTTTTAAGTTTGTTGTAAATCATTTGTGTTTGTAGTTTGTTGTAAATCATTTGTGTTTTAAGTTTGTTGTAAATCATTTGTGTTTTAAGTTTGTTGTAAATCATTTGTGTTTTAAGTTTGTTGTAAATCATTTGTGTTTTAAGTTTGTTGTAAATCATTTGTGTTTGTAGTTTGTTGTAAATCATTTGTGTTTGTAGTTTGTTGTAAATCATTTGTGTTTGTAGTTTGTTGTATATCATTTGTGTTTTAAGTTTTTTAAGTTTGTAGTAAATCATTTGTGTTTTAAGTTTGTTGTAAATCATTTGTGTTTTAAGTTTGTTGTAAATCATTTGTGTTTGTAGTTTGTTGTAAATCATTTGTGTTTGTAGTTTGTTGTAAATCATTTGTGTTTTAAGTTTGTTGTAAATCATTTGTGTTTTAAGTTTGTTGTAAATCATTTGTGTTTGTAGTTTGTTGTAAATCATTTGTGTTTTAAGTTTGTTGTAAATCATTTGTGTTTTAAGTTTGTTGTAAATCATTTGTGTTTGTAGTTTGTTGTAAATCATTTGTGTTTGTAGTTTGTTGTAAATCATTTGTGTTTTAAGTTTGTTGTAAATCATTTGTGTTTTAAGTTTGTTGTAAATCATTTGTGTTTTAAGTTTGTTGTAAATCATTTGTGTTTGTAGTTTGTTGTAAATCATTTGTGTTTGTAGTTTGTTGTAAATCATTTGTGTTTGTAGTTTGTTGTATATCATTTGTGTTTTAAGTTTTTTAAGTTTGTAGTAAATCATTTGTGTTTTAAGTTTGTTGTAAATCATTTGTGTTTTAAGTTTGTTGTAAATCATTTGTGTTTGTAGTTTGTTGTAAATCATTTGTGTTTGTAGTTTGTTGTAAATCATTTGTGTTTTAAGTTTGTTGTAAATCATTTGTGTTTTAAGTTTGTTGTAAATCATTTGTGTTTGTAGTTTGTTGTAAATCATTTGTGTTTTAAGTTTGTTGTAAATCATTTGTGTTTGTAGTTTGTTGTAAATCATTTGTGTTTGTAGTTTGTTGTAAATCATTTGTGTTTGTAGTTTGTTGTATATCATTTGTGTTTTAAGTTTTTTAAGTTTGTAGTAAATCATTTGTGTTTTAAGTTTGTTGTAAATCATTTGTGTTTTAAGTTTGTTGTAAATCATTTGTGTTTGTAGTTTGTTGTAAATCATTTGTGTTTGTAGTTTGTTGTAAATCATTTGTGTTTTAAGTTTGTTGTAAATCATTTGTGTTTTAAGTTTGTTGTAAATCATTTGTGTTTGTAGTTTGTTGTAAATCATTTGTGTTTTAAGTTTGTTGTAAATCATTTGTGTTTTAAGTTTGTTGTAAATCATTTGTGTTTTAAGTTTGTTGTAAATCATTTGTGTTTTAAGTTTGTTGTAAATCATTTGTGTTTTAAGTTTGTTGTAAATCATTTGTGTTTTAAGTTTGTTGTAAATCATTTGTGTTTGTAGTTTGTTGTAAATCATTTGTGTTTGTAGTTTGTTGTAAATCATTTGTGTTTTAAGTTTGTTGTAAATCATTTGTGTTTTAAGTTTGTTGTAAATCATTTGTGTTTTAAGTTTGTTGTAAATCATTTGTGTTTTAAGTTTGTTGTAAATCATTTGTGTTTTAAGTTTGTTGTAAATCATTTGTGTTTGTAGTTTGTTGTAAATCATTTGTGTTTGTAGTTTGTTGTATATCATTTGTGTTTTAAGTTTGTTGTATATCATTTGTGTTTGTAGTTTGTTGTAAATCATTTGTGTTTTAAGTTTGTTGTAAATCATTTGTGTTTGTAGTTTGTTGTAAATCATTTGTGTTTTAAGTTTGTTGTAAATCATTTGTGTTTGTAGTTTGTTGTAAATCATTTGTGTTTTAAGTTTGTTGTAAATCATTTGTGTTTGTAGTTTGTTGTAAATCATTTGTGTTTTAAGTTTGTTGTAAATCATTTGTGTTTTAAGTTTGTTGTAAATCATTTGTGTTTTAAGTTTGTTGTAAATCATTTGTGTTTGTAGTTTGTTGTAAATCATTTGTGTTTTAAGTTTGTTGTAAATCATTTGTGTTTTAAGTTTGTTGTAAATCATTTGTGTTTTAAGTTTGTTGTAAATCATTTGTGTTTGTAGTTTGTTGTAAATCATTTTTGTTTTAAGTTTGTTGTAAATCATTTGTGTTTTAAGTTTGTTGTAAATCATTTGTGTTTGTAGTTTGTTGTAAATCATTTGTGTTTTAAGTTTGTTGTAAATCATTTGTGTTTGTAGTTTGTTGTAAATCATTTGTGTTTTAAGTTTGTTGTAAATCATTTGTGTTTTAAGTTTGTTGTAAATCATTTGTGTTTTAAGTTTGTTGTAAATCATTTGTGTTTGTAGTTTGTTGTAAATCATTTGTGTTTGTAGTTTGTTGTATATCATTTGTGTTTTAAGTTTTTTAAGTTTGTAGTAAATCATTTGTGTTTTAAGTTTGTTGTAAATCATTTGTGTTTTAAGTTTGTTGTAAATCATTTTTGTTTTAAGTTTGTTGTAAATCATTTGTGTTTGTAGTTTGTTGTAAATCATTTGTGTTTGTAGTTTGTTGTACACAGGCAAATTTTGTTCACGTAAATTTCACGTGAAAATCACGTGAATTTCACATGAAATTTTTCACGTGAAATTCACCTCAAACGAGCTTATACATGAAACTCACGTGAAATTTTTCACGTGAAACTCACGTTAAATTTACGTGAATTTCACGTGAATCGAGCTTTCACGTGATATTCACGTGAAATTTTTCACATGAAATTAACGTGAATCGAGCTTTCACGTGAAATTCACGTTAATTTTTTCACGTGAAATTAATGTGAATCGAGCTTTCACATTATTTTTTTTAAATGAAATTAAGGTGAATTGAGTCTCAATCACACAAATTTCACAGTATTTGAGCATATTTTAGATAAGTAAATGCTAATCTAGTACACATTCTATTTTGATATAAATAAACATTCTTCTTGGTCTTGAGGATGTATTCATACTTCCATTCTATTTTACTTTCTCTTTGTATCTTAAATTTCTTGGTCCTAAACAATACAAATAATATTTATTCATCAACTCCAACTCACAATATCTTCAATTAGCAGCAGATAGATTCAATAAAACCAAGAAGACAAACAAATATCCAGGGCACCATAGTTCACTCCTACAACATTTTTTGTTGTATTCAAGTCTCAATATTTTTTTTAATTTGATGTATGGAAGGTGATTCATTTAAAGAAGATGTATGCACTGATGTATATTTCATTTTTAATATGTATGTATAAGTCTTTTTGTGTTCATCAGTTTTGAGACATTCCAATCACATTATGAAAAAGTCTTACTTGCAAAAGATGCCAATTCTTCTTATGAGAGTTTTGAAGAAAAAAGGTAGTTCACCCTGCCACATACTCATGTACTCTGATCAATTAAACAGATCATGACATATTGTTTAGACACCTGTCTATTGTTGAGGACTATGTTAGCACCTTAATGTCTTTCATGTGTTTTTGTTGTTGTGTTACTGTCTGATTGATTTATACCTCATATCTCATTGTATTAATAAACTGAAATAGAAAGTTCTGTGAAATATATTTGATATACCATATTGAAAGTCTTGCTGTTATTTACAACCATTTCCTTCTTATTTCATATATGGTTTTCAGTTTTTCATATTAACACTGATCTTAAGCCTAAGTCAAAAAGAAAATAAATGTTGACAAACAACAGGCATATACCATTAAAAGATCTCAAAGTTTGGCTGCACAATAAGCTAAAAATTCTTGTTATTTAAAATATTTATATAAAATTCATTTTAAAACAAGCATTTTCCATTTTTAGACAGTAACTGTCATGTTGACACAATAATTTGAATATGAATTGTATTATATGCTGAAAGTACTTGTGGTTGAAAAAAAATATACACAATATTTAATTCCAGGTGTTTAGATTTCTAGAATGCACCACTCCAATATCATGACAACATGTTAGTAATGTTTAAGTGTTCTCTCCTGCATGTAATTGCTACATGTATTTGTACACAAGGCTTCCTTCATACATTTGCACTTATCCTTCTAAGATGTTGCTTCAATGATAAAATCCTGTAGTTGCATAATCAGCCATAAACTCTTGGAATACATTTGCTGTAATAAAAAAAACCCAGTATATATTATTTTGTAAAATATACATCAAATCAAATATTGCCTTACCATTCAAGCAAAAATGATAACATCAATTTAATATCCAAACTTACCGGGTACATATATATATATACTTTTATAAATTGTGACTTGGATGGAGAGTTGTCTCATTGGCACTCATACCACATCTTCTTATATCTATGTATATAATCATACATGTATATTGTGTGTCAGATAAACTGGAGTGGAATATTAATAGTTGTTGTTTGTTGCTGCACTACTTTTTGATTACCTCTGCTATGGAGGTTGTGGAGGTTTATAATGGTTGAAATTTGCCATGAAACCTGGAATTTGTAAACATTACAGATGAAAATCAAAATGCTATGATCATTCTGATGATATAAACCTATTTAATATTAATTTCATAAAATTCTGGCAAGAATTGTACACAAAAGCCCTAACAATGCAATTTTCCAAATAATTAATGTTTCCAAGGGGCATAACTCTTTTAAAAATGATTGATTGGCACTGATTTTAAAACTTGTCAGACATTGTTGATATAACCAATCAAAATAAGTTTCATAAAAATTTGACAAGAATTGTACAAGACATGCAAGTGAGAGCGCTTATAAGGCCAAAGGGATAGACGGACTCCAGGTATTTTTATGTCCCCACTGTTTTATGGTGCTTGTCCTAAAGATATAAGAATAATTATAAGTTTACGATAAGTATCAAATAAACTTAACATTACCAATGATTCATGAAAATATACTGTCAAGCAAATATTAAGGTCAAGTTCAGATAAACCAAGCCAGACAGACATGTGCACCTTACAACATGTACAATTATTGCATACACCAAACTAGAGGTTCCAAGGAGCCTGTATCTCTCACCTGATATTTTTATTTACAATTGATGCATGAAATAATGTAACCGTTATACTTTTGCTTTAGTTTCAGAGATATAAGTCAAAAACTGCATTTTCCCTCTATGTTCTATTTTTAGCCATATCTGCCATGTTTTTAAAAACTAGATACCCTAATGATGATTGTGGCCAAGTTTGGTTTATTTGTCTCTGTTGTTTCAGGAGAAGACTTTTGTAAATTAAAAAAAATTACGGAAAATTGTTAAATTTGACTTAAAAGGGCAATAACTCCTTATCAGGTCATTTGACCATTTTGAAAATAAATAACTCAGCCTTGATAATAATAAAAATAAATGGTTTGTTCTGTGGTAGTTTGAAAATAAATAACCTGACTTACAATGTATTGAAAATAACTTGGCAGGTCTTTTAAGCCATTTTATAAATGCTATTTTGAAGTATGAGATGGCACCCACCAGATTCTTCCAAAATTCGTTTTTTTTTATATTTTTTTCGGGAAAAACTTCCCAAATCTTTTAATAATATAAATATTAATGTATTTGAAATGTTTGAAAATGGGTTTCATTTCACTTGAGGTATATTGTCTCGTGAACATTTACCTCACTTTTATTACAGGGCCGTAACTACATTGAGGCAAATGCCTCATGTTGGAAATTTCAAAACAAAAGCTTGTCTTCATATCAAATTGTTTTCACGGCAAGTGTCTTGCAAGAAGCAAGTTCTGTTCACCCTCTGACGTAGCCCCTGTATTTTGAGATCCATTTTTCTCATTTATTTTTATTTTTCATTGTTGATTGTCTATAATGTTTGTCGTTTTGTGTTTTATCTGTTCCCGGGTTTGTCTTTTGTTCATTGATTGCCCTTCTTTATGACTATTCTATTAGTGTTGCATTCTATTTGTAATTTAGTAATTATGTTTTAAACTTCGAGTTTTATTATATTTAAGGACCTTTTGTCTATTACAAACTACTTTAAATTGTATCCCAGTTAGGAACTACATCAAGTTGTAATTGAAATGTGTTATAAAAACTGACTTGACATAGTTATATCAATGATAATCAGCCCCCTCTTAACTTAATTTGAAAAAAAAACATAATTGACAGGTATAAAAGGTTTTTCTGCAAACTGAAACATTTTTTGCTTTGTCCTACATATTGGTCTTTTGATGTTGTCCCTAAAAACTAAAAGTCTTACACTGAATCTATATATTTTGCTTTGAGACCAGAATATTGTCAAACAAGAGGCTGTCAGAGAGACAGCAAACCGGATTTTCCTGCAGAGGTCGAACCCTGAACAGTTGAGCAAGTATGGACACTACATTTAAACTTAAAACAGCTCTGAATTTGGATTGTGATTGAATATTCGACAAATCATAGGTTTGTGACACAAAATGAATGTAGTCAAAGAACTGATATATTTGAAATTGGACATTTAAATACCTATTATGGTCCAATATCCAAAATCTAAGTACATATTAGAATCAGCATATCAAAGAACCCCTAAATTCAATTTTTGATGAAATCAGACAAAAGTTTAATCTAGGACCCTTTGGACCTCAATGTGGACCAATTTGATAAAGGAGCCCACAATCCAAAATCTCTCAATATATGGTTAGATTCAGCATTTCAAAGAACCCCATAAATTCAATTTTTGTTGAATCAAACAAAGTTTAATTTTGGACTCTGATTTGGACCAACTTGAAAACTGGGCCTAAAAATCTAATATTTAAATAGAGTTTAGATTCAGCATTTGAAAGAACCCTATATATATATTTAATTTATGTTGAAATGAAACACAGGTTAATTTTATCCATAATATTTTCTGTGCAAATGGAAATAACTCAAACTGGATAAATAGTTCTCTAAAATAAGATATGAAATTCGAAGCAATTTTTCAAATTATAATCAATAATATAATAACAACAACCAGTGATGACTAAGTTCTCTAAAATTAGATATGATTTAACACTCAAACATTGTTAGAAACAGCATATCAAAGAACCAAAGAATTCAATTTTTGATGAAATTAAACAAAAGTTTAATTTAGGACCCTTTGGACCTCAATGTGGTATTATCTTATTAATAATGAAAAGCTCGACCGTTTACAAGTTCTAAAACAGGAGGGGGGTGGGGGTGACCCAAGGGGACTCACCTTATATTTCATTTGATTGGTTTTATTGTCCCATACAAGAATATATATGGTTTCGGGTTGGGGATCTTGACAATTTACAAGTTTTCAAAAAGAAGGGGGGTGGGGGTTACCCCAGGGGACTTTCCCTCAATTTCATTTGATTTGTTTTATTGTCCCATTCAAGAATCTATATGGTTTAGGGGTGGGGATCTCGACCATTTACAAGTTATCAAAAAGAAGGGGGTTGGGGGTTACCCCCATGGACTTTCCCTATATTTCATTTGATTTGTTTTATTGTCCCATACAAGAATATATATGAATTAGGGGTGGGGATCTCGACCGTTTACAAGTTCTCAAACAGGATGGGGTGGGGTGACCCCAGGGGACTGGCCTTTTATTTCATTTGATTTGTTATATTGTCCCATACAAGAATATATATGGTTTCGGGGTGGGGATCCTGACTGTTTACAAGTTTTCAAAAAAAAAAGGGGGGTGGACGACGACAACGTGATACCAATATACGATTTTTAATTTTTGCGGTCGTATAAAAACCTTAAGTTTTTTTCAAGCAGTCGCTGAACCATTAAAATGTGATCTAACATGGCCAACCAACATATGAAGGACAGAAACATTGTAACAAAAGGCATCTGTATACAATTTATGAAACATCCAAGTCTACTACCCTATGAAATATACATTGTAACGCTTAATAATACAAATAGTAAAACCCAGCAGCCACTGCCATATGCATGGACTTCCCTTTTTTGAAATTGCCTTGGAATTCAGTATTTTCGTTATTGTTATACCATTTGGACTATTAATACTGTAACAAATATACATACCAGTTACATGTACATGTACTGTAGCTATAGGATCTCCTCTACGTCTTATCCCATCATTAATCATGTTAATTTCATTGAAACATATGATGTGTATTACTTCCATTCCACTGACATCTCATGAGCTATTTTCAATCTGTGACAATAAAATTTTATTGATTTAATATAAAGGTATCCTGATCAACACTATGAGGCAATGTTCAAAACACTCTGTCATTGTCTGCGATCAAATTTATTTTAACTCCAATGGCAATGTATTTGTGCAAGACTCAAAACTAAGTACTGTGCATGTACATGATGTACCACAATCTGAATTCATACATATACAATGTACTTAATAAATCAGTGAGACATAAAATTTGTAAGGGTTCCGTGGAACCCAGTGTCTCGCCTACTTTTGCTGTAAATCGCAGGCTCAACGAAAATGAGATGAGGAAAAAATTTAATAAAAATATTCCTCTCAATACAATTTTTTTATTGTAAGAAGCTTCTATCCAAGTTTGGTAAAAATCCAGGATAGTTTATGAATCTAATAAATGTTTAAAAAAATTTAACTGCAGACTGTATGTAATGTGAACTGGAAGAAAAACTAAGTCCATTTATAAGTAAAATATGGAAAAACAAGTACAAAATTTTAATAAAAATTTCCTTCTAGATACTAGCTTTTGATCATAAACAAACTTCTGTTTATGTTTGGTACAAATCCAGGATAGTTTAAGAAAGTTATTAAAATTTTAAAAACTTTAACCACAGAGTGAATGTAATGTTTCCTGGCAGAAAAACTAAGTCCATTTATAAGTAAAATACGGAAAAACAGGATTTTTTTTTTTAAATTTACTTCTGGATACTATCTTATGATCATAAACAAGCTTCTGTCCAAGTTTGGTAGAAATCCAGGATAGTTTAAGGAAGTTATTAAAATTTCAAAAAATTTAACCACAGAGTGAATATATATGTGGACACCGCTGCCACCGACGACGGAATGTAGGATCGCTATGTCTCGCTTTTTCGACAAAAGTCGAAGGCTCGACAAAAATGTAGGTCAAAAAGATATCATGCTGCATCATAATTTATACAATGCAAGTCATAATCATGTACATGATATTTGAACTTTATAATAGTAAAGAATAGATAGTCTGACCAGTAATAAAGCCACACAACACTGTGTGACAACAGTGAAATATAAGTCCCCCATAGATGCACATACCATTATTGTAGGTCTTTTGTATATACAATGTATACGTTTAAGGTTACTTAGAATTGGCTGTCGACATACATGTACAAATGCCAGTACTGTCAGGCATGTTCAGAGTCATTGGACGCTAGGTTACTCCAGTCCATTATCAGTCACTATCAATAGTCAACTCCTCTGTCCATTTGTTGTAATACAATGTACTGCTGAAAGGAGGAAAACAGTGCTTTATTAACAGCATGTATTATCAAGTATCAAAAAGCAATGGATTGAAGTGGCTATTAACATCATTTAGAACAATAAAGAATAAAATGCTCCGCTGGGGCGCAGCTTGATACGACCGCAGAGGTCGAACCCTGAAGAGTTGGGACAAGTATGGACACAACATTCAAGCTTGATACAGCACTAAATTTGGATTGTAATTAAATATTTGACACAGCATAGGTTCTGACACAGAATGAATGTGGTCTTAGAACTTAAAAAATTTTAATTAACCTATTCAAACCATATCATTATTATTTCCTTTTATATACATGTATAAATCAGATTTAACAAATTTAAAATGGAAAATTTTAAAGAAAAAAAAGGAAAAAAAAATCCCCCCCCCCCAAATATTTTGAACCCCCTTATGATTCATCACCCCCAAACTCAATCCCAGCCTTCCTTTTGTGGTATGGTACCTTGCAGTACAATTTCAGAGAGATCCATACACTTACACACAAGTTATTGTCTGGGAACTAGAAAAATGCTTGTTTTTTGGCCCCTAATTCTTAAATGTTTAGGGCAATTACCCCAAAACTCAAACCCAGCTTTCCCTTTGTGATATGGAACCTTGTAGTACAATTTCATAAAGATCCATACACTTACACACAAGTTATTGTCATGAAACTAGAGAAATGCTTGTTTTTTGCCCCTTTTTGGCCCCTAATTCCTAAAATTTGGAGGCAATTACCCCCAAAATCAATCCCAGCATTCCCTTTGTGATATGGAACCTTGTGGTACAATGTCAGAGAGATCCATACACTTACACACAAGTTATTGTCATGAAACTAGAAAAATGCTTGTTTTTTGCCCCTTTTTGGCCCCTAATTCCTAAAATTTGGAGGCAATTACCCCCAAAATCAATTCCTGCATTCTCTTTGTGATATGGAACCTTGTGGTACAATGTCAGAGAGATCCATACACTTAAACTAAAGTAAGAGTGCGTAAACCAATGTGTCTTCGGACGACGCCGACGTCATACCAATATACAAATTAAAGTTAAATTTTTTGCCCTTTGGACCTTTAATTTATGCATGGGTTCAAAATAGTGCAAGTCTGAGGTCCGGGACCTGTCTTTTCTAGGACATGTAGGAGGGGACTTATTTTTAGATTACAAGTCATGGACCTACCATTCTTCATACAGATCAGATGCTTTAAACATGACCCTTGCCTTTATGAAGACAAATTTGAAAACCAGACCCAAAATTAAAAATCCAAATACACAAAATGTATATACACGGTTAGATTCTGCATATTAAAAAAAAAATCAATAATTCAATTTTTGATGGCATCCAACAAAGTTTAAGTTTTGACAATTTAGATCACAATGTGGACCAATTAACAGTCAGGGCCCGGTTGTTCTGAAATAACTGATTTATGAATCACTCATTTAAGTACAAAAATGTTGCAAATAAGAAATTTTGTCAATTTGTAGTTTTACCAACATTTTAAACATACAGTTTTAGTTTATATCTAATTATTAGTAAAATTGAAATAAATGAACTTTCCTTTCTTAACAAATAATAAAATTTTACTGTTCACCATCAAAATTTCACTGTTCAGGGATGTTGAAATTAGGGGGGGGGGGGGGGGGGTAATTAAAATAATAATACTTAAAGAAGTGATTTTTTAAAATAAATTGAGGTATGATACTTAAACAAGTGATTTTCATGTCAATATCCCAGATTCAGTACAAGGTTATCACTTGACATGACTGGACAGTCTATAAACACAGATGTTGGTTCTGGTAATTTTAGCAACATAATAAGCCCATGTATTATACATTTAAAGCTACAATAAATGTTAGTCTAGTGATTTATTTGTACATGTACAACTTAAATTGGTGATTACTGAAGAATGACAACTCTTACTTCCAACATTTGTGGACATAATGTCACTTGAATCAGTGATTTAGAAAATCACTCATTAAAGTAAGTCCCTTGACTGATTAAAAACAGATCCAAATATTCAAACTCTAAAATACAAGATAAGTTTAATTCAGCATATTAAAGTACCTGAAAAATTCAAGACTTTGCATTCAACTTCATTGAAATTGGTCAAGAAATAGGTAACTTGTACAGTGTATTAGAAAAGTATTGTTTAGGCCCCTTAGGCCAGGGCTTTTTTATTTGTTGGTTTACGGATCCGCCGACCCTATTTTTCTGATTTGCAGAATAAAAATAAAATTGACATTTCATGCTTTTTATTCCCGCTGACCCTTACAAAAACCTTAAAACCTTATCCCTGAAATATAAATACAAATTTTCTTTTTTATGAAATGCATCAAACACTAACATGACTAACAGAATTGATAACACATTGTGTTGTATCTAAAAATAGACAAGTCAATCATACATGTAATTGACCTTAAAATGTTGTTTGCGCAAATAATTTTGCGGCGGAGCGAAACCTGTATTTAAAACCAATTACAATAAGTTTGTTTCCCTTTTTTTTTCATAAATCTGTAAGATGTATCATCTCATAGTTTCAAGTTAAATTATAGATATTCACAAACAATTTGGAATTTTCTTGTTTCATAGATAATAAAAAAAAAACGTCCATTTGGATATCAAAAATGGGAATGCATGACAACTCATGAATCTGATATCTTTGTCTTTCCAGTGGACAAGTCTGTTATGTTTTTGACAAGAATGGTAAAGCTTATTTTCGTACGATGTGTTTGCAATTTTCATGTATTAGTTTTCGTGCTTGAAGATCATTATTCACCAATAGAAAATGAAAGGATATGGAGTAAATATACATGGGACAAAATCGCACACAATACATAGAAAACATAGAAAATTATCAATGAACAGGGCTTTTATTCCTGTTCTTCATCTTGACAGTTGATGTATTGTCTTCCTGAAATTGGTGGAACTGTTTTTTCTTGTTCATGAAATAACGATTTAATTTGTCTATGTCCTTGGACATAACCCACCTTTTTGGAAATTGTATGACCTTGGACATAACCCCCCTATTTGGAAATTGTATGATGATGGCATGCATTTTATCCTGCAATCAGCTAACTAATGTACAAATAACAGGTACACAAATAAATTTTTGCTTTATTTGTACTTGTATGTTGAGCAAGCAGTTATGTGGATATTTCTTTTTGCGTACCAGTTCATTTTAGGGTCCTCTTCTCGGTCCGTGTTCAAACTATCGATTTCTTTGAATAATTAGAGACAATGATTTAGATTTTAACAACTAAAGTTTCAAGTTTTGGGTGTAAATTTCAGTATAAAAACAATGTGTACATTGTCGGAAAATATAAAATGTATTTGTACTCGCTACGAAACAGGAGAAAAGCTTGGCGAGCCTCGCTTTTCGTCCTGTTTCTAAAGCTTGTACAAATAAATTATATATTTTCCGACAATGTACATATATTGTATATTTATGTTTATAACAGCTGAGCAATAATTATTCATGGAACTAGAATTTAAGCGATGACAAGATAGCAAACCAAACATTTTGTTAGTAAGGTGAAATATATTTTTTCTGTCTTGAAAGATATTATTTTTCTTTTTATTCTCGACCGACCGAACCAACAAATTAAAAAACCCTGGCCTTACCATGCTAACTCCTGAATGGTTAAGGCCATAACCCTCCAAAATCAATCCCAACCTTCCTTTTTTTGGTATGAACCTTGAAGTTCAATTTCATAGAGATCCATAGAAATGTATGGGATTTGCTCATAATTGAAGGCCGTACCGTGACCTGTAGTTATTTACTTCTATGTCATTTGATCTCGGATGGAGAGTTGTCTAATTGGCAATTATACCACATCTTCTTATTTTTATATTATATTCAAATTAATGTATGGAAACCAGAAAATCTTAGTTTTTGGGCCCTAAATTCATTATTGTATATGCAACTTGTCATGGTAAAACTATACAACAATCATGATTCATGACAATTAGCAAATCAATATATCCAAGTATAACAAACAAACAAAGTGAAAAACAGATTATTTGCATGAATTTTCCAAGTCCAAGGACCATAGCTACATGTAATCTGCTATGCATAATGCAAAGAAAAACATCTCAACAGAATAAATATTGAACTTGATCTGTAAATTTGTCATGGTAAAACTATATACAATGTATAAATATCAAATCAATATCGAGTTTCTTGTTTTGTATCAACTTTTGAGTATACATGTGTGTGTGTCTAATGAGTGTTTATTTTAAACGGAGTTTTACAACTGTGAACTGATCTGACAGGTCAAAAGTTGAAAAACATTCTCACTATTTCCAGAGCTCCAGATAAGAATTCACAAATTGGGGTTTTTACCCACCATTTTTTTATGTAATTGGGTGATAAAGTTTTTTAATTGCATTATCAATTCCAATTCACCCCTCAAGCAAATATCAAATTGGGTTTTTCACCACCAAGCTCCTTAATGTATTGGGTTTTTTCATCAACACAATATTGAATATTTAATCATGTTATATTCACATTATTTCAACCCCAGATGTGTTTCCATCTAAAATGTGTTTCTTTCTTTGTAGAATATGTGCTAGCTGTTTTATTTGGTTTATTTACTGACGAGCAATTGAACATTTAATTTGTGTCCCGTTTTAAACGTTCTGTCAGTTTTGTATTTTCTCAAAACTTATGTAAACTGCAGCTGGTCACGGTCACTAGTTGGACAGGAACTAATTGCCTTTCTAGATCCCATATGATCACCCTACAGTTTAATTATAGTTGGGGTAGGTGTGGCTAAGTGTTTAGATTTTTGTGTAATATATGTGAAAATTAGGTGCTGTAAGAAAGTTTTGCCAGTCCTTTCACCTATTTGCCAGATCTACTTTTTAATAAAAATAAAAAAGTAGTTTCCAGATTTAAGATATACCCCAAAACCTTGAGGTTTATAGGGTGGTTTATAATGACGGAGACCACATTCTTACAAATAATTCTGCAACATCAAGTAAATAAATGACAATGTTATACTGCACTTGCCAATAAGACAACTATCTTAAGCATCTAGAACAATTAGACCAAAACAAAAAAAGTGTCCAGCTGCATTGACGTAAAAAAACGGATATATGTGTATTCACTCATCAACTAAAATGAAAAAAATAATATATAAACTGTTTTCGTTTAATTCAATTTACATAAATCTGGGTTAAGTTGTCCCTTATCAGAACTTTTGGTTTCCAATGCTTTCAAACTACATATCATGTCATAATTGATTTGGCCTTTCACTTTTTCCAACTGATTTCGTTTTTGACGGAACCCCGTGTTTATCGCTCTAGCAATGTTCTCGTTATGGCCGCTTCCTAAAATCACTAGCTGAGTCTTGTTATCATCATAACTTTCCCTCAGCTATCAAAAAGAAGCCGAAAACATGCTTCTATTCAATATTTTTACCGGACATTTACTTTCGTTTTAATTCATTGTATGTTGCGATAAATCCCGAGCAATTCGAAAAAAAATGACAGCATGTCACACGCTAATTGGATAAACGCCGAGAAGATCGAAATCTTTTCATAAACACGTGTACCTTTTGAGCAACGGAAAATTTCAACAGGGACCCATTACAGCTACTTGATGCAGGGCTCTATTTTTAGAACGAAAGGACATCTCCAATTATAAATATTATAAAAATAGATTTACGCGACGACTGTAATCAAGTAAGGGTAAATAACGCAAACGATAGCGAATAAAAGCGTTAAAAACCCATGTTTTTGGCATATAATTGGGTTTTCCTTTGAATTAATTGGGTTATTGAACCCTGCAATGGGCAATTGCATTGGGTTTTTAATTATTTTTATTGCGTGATCACGCAAATACGCAGCTTATCTGGAGCTCTGTATTTCTGTTTCTTTCTGCACTATTAAATCATTTATTTGAGTTACCTGTATTATTTCCTCGAGTATCTATACGTTCATAACTCCTTGATTGTGTTTGTCTCGTTAAATAAACAGAAACAAGTACTTGTTCAAGTTGTTGTCAGTTGGCTACCGGCGTCTTCTTTTGCATCATTCATCTGAATCTTTCAAGCGTTTTAAAAACCGATCTCCGGTCCCGGATATCGTCACGAAGAATAGTTATCCATGTGCAAATAGGTACATGCTGGTTTCCCCATTTAATAGACCAATATCCAATATTTCTTAGCATAATCAGCTTCCCGACTTTACTGACTCAATTCAGTTTTAAAATGATATTTACTGCTTAAAGTCCTGACTAAGTAAGACATATAAATGAACAAATAACAAATTCTTTTGTTTACAAGCATCCTTTACATAGGAGCACCCCTTTAGTGGAGCATAAAGTTTAACCCTTAAAACTATTTGATATATTTTAATATAATATAAACTATATTGTTTGATATAATTTCAATGAAGTTATTTCATTTAGTTGAAGAATATATATGTTTAATCCAATTAACAGCCTGTCTAATTGGCAATCATACCCTCACATTTATTACAGCTAAATAATATTAGAGACATTATTTAGTATATATGCCTCTGGTAATAATTTAATGTCAATCAATAATTTTCGATAACATACATAGCACATTAATGCATTTGCCTGGGACACTATATAGGACTTTAAATATGTTTATTATCTATAAATTTTAAAAGATAATTAAAAATATTTGAAAATTTAAATATACAGCATTTTTAGGTGTAAAATTCCTGGTTTCACATATTTCAAGACTGTAGTTTTTTTTTAATAAATAATATCAGATCTATCAAAGTTGTAAATTTAACCAACCATTCGCTATAAATTAACAAATTATTTCAGACAATCCTTAATTATCTTCTTAAAACATACTTATTAATAAGCCAAATAAAAATATACATTGGCAGATCCAGAACTTTTCATAGGGTGGGGGGGGCACTAACTGACCTAAGGGGGGGCCGCTCCAGTCATGCTTCAGTGATTCCCTATATAATCAACCAAAATTTTTCCCACAAAAGGGGGGGGGGTGGCAGAGCCCCCTGGATTCGCCTATGATATATGCGTGGTTCCACTCACCGTTACCCTAACTACCCTACTTTTTAGTCTTAATAATAGCCTACCCTAAAGATTTTTTTGTCATTTTTCATTAAGCACTGTTAAGTCTGAATGTTACTCCCATAGACTCAATGTAAAAAAAAACACAACATAAAATTAGAATAAATCCCTACCTAGTTACTACTGAAATTATAAAATTAATATTTAGTTTAAAATTTTTCCCATTGATTGACAAACCCTGACAACTCATTAACTCAAAAGGAAAAATTGAGAAATCTTGATCATCATAAAAAGGTTTATAAAATATTTTGAAGTGTACCAACACATAAATTGCAATCCAGTTGATACACATGCAATCCCTGAGAGAAGATATTTTCTTTTTTCTTCCTTTTTTTTAGATGAGGGAGTAGTTAGCATTTACCGCTTTTGTAATACTCATTAAATCAAACATTTTTCATATTTCTGAAAGCAAAGCAGTTTTAAAAATATACTGCACTTCCAATATATATACTTTGATAAACATTCAATTTTACATTTATTGACAACATTTGGCCCAATAAAATTCTTTTCAGCACACTTTCATATTTTTATTCATATGTCCTATTGTTAAACTAATGTGTGGTTCAAAGCTCAAAATTGTACTTGACTTATAAGTTTGAGGAAAAGTTTAATACACAGCAAAAAAGGGAGATAACTCAGGTTTTGAAGTAACTGATATTCAATTCATATTCATTATTATTTTTTTTCTTTGCAATTATGGAAAGTAAAGGATATTAAATGAATTACAGTAACAGGAATCTATTTCATAAGCTGGATTTACCTCCCATATTTTATAAGAGGACAAAAACAAAGAAAACTTTCAATGTGTGAAAGAAATTAAGTTTACTGATAAATAATAATAGAAATATACTGATAAATCAATATTAGCCCATCAATATAATCTAGGTATCTAGGAATTTGAAATCAAAGATACAAATTCTACCCTTATTGCTCTACTAGAGATTAATATAAACAGTGACAGAAAATACAACTCAAAACCAACACTGATCTTTTTGTAGTTGCATCTAATCCAAGGGAGATAATTCATGCGAAATAAAAAGATAAATATTAATCATTTGATGGTTATATGTCCCCCTTTTATGTAAATTATATTAAAGTGCTTGTAAAAATGTTCTCCTGAGTATGTTTTTAAAATGTTTATTGTGAAATTTTGTTAGAATTTGTTAATTTTTGTATTTCAAACAAATAAAATATCTATATTCTTATTCTAATTCTTCTTCAATAATTATTTTTACATTTTGGCGATTATGTCAAAATGGCAATAATTAGTGCACACACTTAATTATTTTAAAAAGTGATTTTATCTTGTGCAAAACCAACCACGTAAGCACATTATATAAAAAATTAGCTCCAGTCAGATCAAATGAATTTCACGTGAATTTCACGTGAATTTCACGTTAGTCAGATCATGTGAAATTCACGTGAGTCAAATCATGTGAATTTCATGTGAGTGAGATCACGTGAATTTCACGTGAAAAAAAGTTTATGTGAAATTCACATGAATTTCACATGAGTTTCACGTTAACAAGTTCACGTTAAATTCACGTAAGTCAGATCATGTGAGTTTCACGTGAATTTCATGTGAATTTCACGTGAAAACTGTTCACGTGAAATTCACATTAAAAATTCACGTGATATTCACGTGAGCAAAAATTCACGTGAAATTCATGTGAAACTCACGTGAATTTTACGTGACTTTCACGTGAAATGAGACTCACGTGAAATTCACGTGAACAAAATTTGCCTGTGTATATCATTTGTGTTTTAAGTTTTTTAAGTTTGTAGTAAATCATTTGTGTTTTAAGTTTGTTGTAAATCATTTGTGTTTTAAGTTTGTTGTAAATCATTTGTGTTTGTAGTTTGTTGTAAATCATTTGTGTTTGTAGTTTGTTGTAAATCATTTGTGTTTGTAGTTTGTTGTAAATCATTTGTGTTTTAAGTTTGTTGTAAATCATTTGTGTTTTAAGTTTGTTGTAAATCATTTGTGTTTTAAGTTTGTTGTAAATCATTTGTGTTTGTAGTTTGTTGTAAATCATTTGTGTTTTAAGTTTGTTGTAAATCATTTGTGTTTTAAGTTTGTTGTAAATCATTTGTGTTTGTAGTTTGTTGTAAATCATTTGTGTTTGTAGTTTGTTGTAAATCATTTGTGTTTGTAGTTTGTTGTAAATCATTTGTGTTTTAAGTTTGTAGTAAATCATTTGTGTTTTAAGTTTGTTGTAAATCATTTGTGTTTTAAGTTTGTTGTAAATCATTTGTGTTTGTAGTTTGTTGTAAATCATTTGTGTTTGTAGTTTGTTGTAAATCATTTGTGTTTGTAGTTTGTTGTAAATCATTTGTGTTTTAAGTTTGTAGTAAATCATTTGTGTTTTAAGTTTGTTGTAAATCATTTGTGTTTGTAGTTTGTTGTAAATCATTTGTGTTTGTAGTTTGTTGTATATCATTTGTGTTTTAAGTTTTTTAAGTTTGTAGTAAATCATTTGTGTTTTAAGTTTGTTGTAAATCATTTGTGTTTTAAGTTTGTTGTAAATCATTTGTGTTTTAAGTTTGTAGTAAATCATTTGTGTTTTAAGTTTGTTGTAAATCATTTGTGTTTGTAGTTTGTTGTAAATCATTTGTGTTTGTAGTTTGTTGTAAATCATTTGTGTTTGTAGTTTGTTGTAAATCATTTGTGTTTTAAGTTTGTAGTAAATCATTTGTGTTTTAAGTTTGTTGTAAATCATTTGTGTTTGTAGTTTGTTGTAAATCATTTGTGTTTGTAGTTTGTAGTAAATCATTTGTGTTTTAAGTTTGTTGTAAATCATTTGTGTTTTAAGTTTGTTGTAAATCATTTGTGTTTTAAGTTCGTTGTAAATCATTTGTGTTTTAAGTTTGTTGTAAATCATTTGTGTTTGTAGTTTGTTGTAAATCATTTGTGTTTTAAGTTTGTTGTAAATCATTTGTGTTTGTAGTTTGTTGTAAATCATTTGTGTTTGTAGTTTGTTGTAAATCATTTGTGTTTTAAGTTTGTAGTAAATCATTTGTGTTTTAAGTTTGTTGTAAATCATTTGTGTTTGTAGTTTGTTGTAAATCATTTGTGTTTGTAGTTTGTTGTATATCATTTGTGTTTTAAGTTTTTTAAGTTTGTAGTAAATCATTTGTGTTTTAAGTTTGTTGTAAATCATTTGTGTTTTAAGTTTGTTGTAAATCATTTGTGTTTTAAGTTTGTAGTAAATCATTTGTGTTTTAAGTTTGTTGTAAATCATTTGTGTTTGTAGTTTGTTGTAAATCATTTGTGTTTGTAGTTTGTTGTAAATCATTTGTGTTTGTAGTTTGTTGTAAATCATTTGTGTTTTAAGTTTGTAGTAAATCATTTGTGTTTTAAGTTTGTTGTAAATCATTTGTGTTTGTAGTTTGTTGTAAATCATTTGTGTTTGTAGTTTGTAGTAAATCATTTGTGTTTTAAGTTTGTTGTAAATCATTTGTGTTTTAAGTTTGTTGTAAATCATTTGTGTTTTAAGTTCGTTGTAAATCATTTGTGTTTTAAGTTTGTTGTAAATCATTTGTGTTTGTAGTTTGTTGTAAATCATTTGTGTTTTAAGTTTGTTGTAAATCATTTGTGTTTGTAGTTTGTTGTAAATCATTTGTGTTTGTAGTTTGTTGTAAATCATTTGTGTTTTAAGTTTGTAGTAAATCATTTGTGTTTTAAGTTTGTTGTAAATCATTTGTGTTTGTAGTTTGTTGTAAATCATTTGTGTTTGTAGTTTGTTGTATATCATTTGTGTTTTAAGTTTTTTAAGTTTGTAGTAAATCATTTGTGTTTTAAGTTTGTTGTAAATCATTTGTGTTTTAAGTTTGTTGTAAATCATTTTTGTTTTAAGTTTGTTGTAAATCATTTGTGTTTGTAGTTTGTTGTAAATCATTTGTGTTTGTAGTTTGTTGTATATCATTTGTGTTTTAAGTTTTTTAAGTTTGTAGTAAATC